CAGTGGGGTAATTTATACTTGGCCAAGCAGACTTGGTTAAGCAAATGTGGTTTGTAATAAAGTAACTAGCTCTGTTTGTTAAATTTAACAGGTTAACTTTACTTGGTTAAATTAAATAGAGCAGCTAAAAATATGCATGATTTCCCTATATGTACTCTTTAATAAGGCTAACCAATATCCAGATTTGCTCCCAACACTGACAGTCATAATCCCTACAGCCTAAAGTTACCAAGCAATGCTGGTTATACTGCTGTTGTACAGGACTACTACTTACAGGAATACTATAGTACTCCAGATTCAGACCAAGAGGAATACAATTTTCACCTCCCAGTGGATAAGGCAATGTTTACAGGTAATTTGAACAGTTAATAATATATTTTGTTCTGAAATTTAAATAGCTGAAAAATGAAACACAAAAGCATATCTCGATCTGTCTGCCTCTGTAATCTCCCTGTACTGACCTTTTTCCAACTCTCCTTCATGTGCTCCTGTCTTGACTTAAAACATTTTCATATTTAGGTGATTCTGTTAATTGCTAGTAAATGCCAATATTTTGATTTCAGATATGGAATAAAGAAACAGTTCAGAACGTACACATCAGGAGTGTTAAAGTGAGGGTGGTGAGGCGACGTAATGATGGCCGTGCGAAGATAAGTTACCGCAGTCTTATCTCAGTCTCATTCAAGCAAACAATAGAGCGCTGGGATGACAAGCATTTGAATGTTGGGCATCAATAACTATCCAGTGTGTTGTCGGCATAAACCAAGCAGATTATAGATGCTTGGAGTACAGCGAGCCCTTTCTAAAGAGGACTCGTAAAAAAATCACTGCAGCTTCCCGAGAAGTGGAATCTAGGAACAAAAGCACACGCATATAAATTTAGAAATAATAGATGATTACTGGTTCTTTCAAACTGTTTTAGAAATCTGAATTGTTAACTGTTGGTATTTTCTTGGATAGTGTGTGTGTGCGTGGATTCTTACATTAGACATCGTATTATCTTTATGAGAAACATAATAAAAAATGTCTGCCTGCTTCATTTTCCAATTTGTACCAGATATTTTAGGGCCTTCTCTTAAAAAAGAGTGCCATTGGAATTCAGGGAACCACTTCGAAGTCTGTCCATTCAGTGGACTGGTATCATTCAATGCGGATGGTCATTTGCTGAATGGACTAATCCTGCTGCTTTTCCTCACAAAGTAATACTAACACAGTTTTAGAAGTTGACATCTGTGTCCAGAATAATTCAGATTAACTGCCGTTAATAAGGATTGTTTAGCTGTGGAAATAGAAAAAAGAATATATTTTATGAATCTTATTTAAATGCAATAATATAATTACAAGGTCATGCAAAAGCATTAAGTAGAATCACTACAGGTCAATAGAAAGCATATACTGCATGTATAGCATTAATATTTAAAAAATAATAATGCAGTAAAATAAAATAAACCCTTTTTTACTCCTTCTAGTGCTTCACTGCTGATTTAACAAGGTGCTTTAATACACTGAGAGAGCTTGTTAGTCAGGATTCACTAATCTTATCAATATTCATTTGGCTGAAAAGATGACTCACAGCAATCACCAAAAAAGATAATATTTGTCCAACTCGTGACACTCCCATAATGAGCTGCAGACACATTGATGTGTCATGTAGTTACATTCAATATTAATTCAGTCAGATAGATGTGAGCATCGGGCCCATACGACTAGCAGCTAATCCAGTGGGTAAGACTGATGGTAGCCACAGCAGTCTTCTGTCTTTTACCACCACCGCTGTATTTGACGTGATTCTCACACTGGAAAAACTCGCAGCCCTTTAGCATTATGAGAATTTTCAGGCTGGTAAGTGAAGCCTTTCTTGATGTAGATTTAATTCAATATTTGCTTTTAATTGCTTTTATTGAATTTGTTCTCTGGAGTCACAACACTGTGGTGCACAATCTGAGAGTCTAGGAGCTGATTGGAACAAACCTCATCATCTTGTCAGTATAATTACATTATCTTCTTGTTTTTTTGGGTTTTTTTTAACAAGATGTGACATTCAATATGAAATTTAAATGCCACACAAAGATCAATCAATTCCATTCTTTCCCTGAAGAGCTTTCATGAGGGTTCAAGTTAGCACTTCACAGATGTATTTAAAAAACAAACAAAAAAACCCCTAACAAATCAAATTGACTTCAAATTAAATAAAAAATCCATTACACAGAAAAGAAAACAAGGATGTTCAAAGGTAAATGGATTTAGGCTCCAGCTCATGCAGTCTATTAACTGTTCTGTTACTGTCAATGATATAATGCTCATTTAATCTAGTTCAAGATGTTGTAATTTTACGGTCGTTTTTATGAATTTGTTTTATTACTATTATTCTAATAGGTATAGAGGTGATTATTTTCCTATGACTTATATCAACTCTATAATAACTGAATAACTGCTCTAAAACAGGTGTAGCAAAAGCTTGACATTAGAACCTTCATGGTGTCTGTTTTCATTGCACCACAGTCCCATTGATCCAAGTGACACCAACAGACTGGCTAAACTGATCAGGAAGGGTGGCTCTGTGGCTGGCTGCAAGTTGCAAGCTTTTAAAAAAATAAAAAACAGTGTGACCTTATGCTGACTTCATTAAAAAAAATAATTTCATACTGCAAATTATGCAGCAGGTTTTATGCAGCAATTCATACACCTGAATAACTCAGTGTGTGCGTGGATGCATTTGCACATGCCGCTGTGTGTGTGTATGTGTTGCAATGTGTGTGCATCATATTGGGTTTTGCTCATTATGTTAAAATTCAAAACAATCACTGGAAATTTCAATCTGCAGAATAAAAATAGTGAAGGTAAGTTCCAGATCTCTACAAAATTCAACAAAAACAGCATAGAAAGTCGGTATTTTCTTTTTTTGTATACAGTTCTTATATTTAAAGAAACATTGACTTTCTAAATTGAGGTTTTAAAATGTTGAATTTTGAAAGATCTGTATTCAGAAACTTTCAGGATATGTTGTCGATACCTCTCGAGGACTGAGAAACTGAAAAAGGGAGCTCTATCACTACTCTTGCTTTATTTTTTTAAGCACAGAATACCCATATTCAGGCCTAATGGTGTACCAGCCTAGGGCAGAGCACACACCACAGGACCTGACTGCAGAATTTCAGGCAGGGATGGCAAAGTTAATGAGAACGAAGCCTTACACCAGCACCAGTTAGAGGGGCTACAGCCTCAATTCAGTGGTAGAGCAGCCAGGTTCAGGACTGGAACATAATACTGTAGCGCACCAACCGTAGGGACAGCTTTGCTGGCAATCGTTTACCTGTTGTAGCTTTTTTTACTGTCACTGAAATTCGGTCTGTTGGCTACTGTGCGGTTTTTACAAGCAGTTTAAAAAGTGGACGTAGCTGATGTGACATCACACAGGGGTTTCTGAAGACCAGTTTTGAAATCCTGAGACATCTGGAACTTTGTAGAGATCGGGAACTTTCCGCTGTCGCCATCTTAGTTGCAAAAAAATGAGGAAAATGGGTCTGACCTGTGCTCATGAGCATGTGGTTTCATACCACAGATCATCCTCCCAATTTAAAACATATGACCACTGATTACAAAATAAACTTATTTTTTTAGTTCAATATGACCCCAAAGTGAGTGTCTGAGCCCATAAACTCAGCAGGAAGATTTTTGCAGAGGTCGAGACAGAGCTTTTTTCCAATTGATTTCTACAGAGGGGCTTTTTGCAACCACAGTTAGCGCCATCTGCTGGCCTTACGATAGAATGCAGACTTAAGGCACTTTGGTTTACACCATGGTTGTTGGTCCTTGCTAGCCATAAAGAAGAGAAAAACGAATGTACAAGAGCTGAAGTGAAAGCGAGTGTTTAAAAACAATGAAAAATGCTCATTGGTGCTACAATCCCTGCTTATCCTGCTTTTTTGGAAGAACTGGGCACAAACATGTTTGATTTGGTTGCATACTGCTTTGCATAGGTTCTGCCGTTTACATCCGTATTTGCATAGCCTCCGCCTAGGATTTTGTGTAACGGTGCAGTATGAGGAAAAGAATTACTTAGAAATAAGGCACAAAATAACTTGTTCGTTGAGGCTCTGCTGTTTGTGGATTTAGGCAACTAAAAAACTTCACAAGCCAAAAGGCTGATTTTCTAACTCCCAGACAGTATAAAGGTAGTATAAAAGATCAACATCATCACTTTCAATATGAATTGATGTCTGCTACCTGTGATGTTATCTTAATACAGTGTATTTACTAATGTAAGCAACGATATTAGACATAAAAACACACAGAAACATCGGCAATCACTTTTTGGCAGACTGTAATTCTATCAATAATAATAATACTAATATGATAATGATGATGATAATAAATGACATTCCTACCACTACAAAAGAGTTTGGCACAGTTATCTTATATTAACTGGGTAAAGTTTTGGACTACAAATGCGTTCTTACTAAGAAAGCGAAGGAAGTTTAATTGAGAATCATACACAGATATTATTCTAACTCTGTAAGTTTAAGGAAGACATTTTTTTTAACTCATGTTAACTTATGTGATATGTATCCATAGACATTTGTGCACCAGTTCTAGCCATGTCCATGATTCAGTTATTCATAACAGAAACAACAAAAGAACTACTCCTAAACAATCTTTTAATTATTTTAGAGAAGTAACATACTGAGCCAAATTCATTCTAAAACTTCAGTTATAACTTTTGAAAAAGAAACTACGTATAAAAACTCGCCCTGGTTCAATTTTTTTTTAAAGCGACTCCACATAGGAAATTAGCACGACCTCATTCCCTCCTGCTAAACCTAATGTAAAACTGCCATCTACTGGCTAAATATAAAGCGGTTCAAACGTCTTCAAATTGTTTTCCAAGTAGTAAACTGTAGTAATACGTTGAAATATACAAGTATTTCTGTAAAAAATACAACGCACGTGTATTAAGGGTGATTAAAGGGAATTTAACGGCTCCCGTTGCTTACCTCCCATTACCAACCACATCTCCCGTCAGCCCCCGGTGCGGAGCGGCGTCTGTGACGCATATTTTCGTCGACTATGAAGTGCACAGCTGAGCTAAACTGACACCATGGACGTTTAACGATAAATTGGGTCATTTTAATCCTGTCCACTGGCCGTGATCGTGCTTAGTGCCACTGAGGCCTTCCGTCTGAAATGTCTCTCATACTTCACGGAGTCGAGTTTGTATTTTACGACTTATTTAATAGGTTTTCCCGCCGTTAACCAGCTCGTGTTATTGCAGGACAGGTGTCTCTGCTAGTTCAAAATGACTCTTCCAGCTCTGCACAACACCAGCGTGCTTTACAGACGGATACTGTCACAGTTTCCTCAGGACATCAGCTTAGCGTTTGCCTACGGATCTGGCGTTTTTAAACAGCATGGGACCAGCCAAGGTCAAATGGAGGTAAGACACATAGCTGTTTCTGAGTACTCATGGCGTTAAATCTGCACTGTAAGTATTGTATACAAAATATTTTACACATTTTTAATCCGCAAGTTAACTGTACAACATTGTATTTGTGGCAGGGAGCCATCTACCCTGCTGTATTCCCTATAATATTACACACATCATTGAAAATGTGTATGTTGGGACATGGACTCAATATTTGTCCATGAATGAGGCTGTTTGTACATAACAGTCCTATCATTATGTAAACACAGATAATTCCTGAGGCATTAGACTGCAATACTTCAAACCATCATACAGTCTTTTAAAAAAAAAATGAAGGAATCAAATTGTTTTCAGTGATGTAAACACCATATTGTGTATTACATCACAACTTTTTGCACACGTGTAAGTATGGATTGTTCTTATATTTCTGACATGCATTTACAATATGTATATGTTACCACGAAATCACACAATACACTGCGATACCTATGAAGTTGTTCCTTAACAGTTTGAAGTTGTGATGTAGTGAAATGCCTTCGATCCTCTGTTGTCCTCTGATACACGCAGAAAAACATGCTGGACTTTGTGTTTGCGGTGGACGACCCGGTGACGTGGCACACCATGAATCTGCTACAGAATCGCAAACACTACTCCATCCTCAAGCTGCTGGGTCCCACGGTGATCAGCTCCATACAAAATGATCACGGAGCTTCGGTGTACTACAACACGCTGGTGCCTGTGGATGGAAGGGTAAATGACTACATTCTCATAAACCTAAACACATCTGTAGGTCTTTTTCTAGTTTTCTCTATGTGTGCACCATCAATGTGCCCTGCTCTAACTACAGACACAAAACTCCTCACATAACCTGTGAATTTGTCACAGGAGTGATGGTGTTTTGTGTGAATTTGTCACAGGAGTGATGGTGTTTTGTGTTGCTTTGTAGGTTAGTTTATAGGATCACCTCTATACAAAATGCATGTCTGAATCAAAAATCATTCATTTGTTCATGGTGATGCAAGCATGTTCAGATGTACATTTACTTTAAGAGGTTTTTATGGGTTTAATTTATTAACTGCATATTTCCTCCCCTGTTCTCAGATAATAAAATATGGGGTAATAAGTACAGACTCTCTGATTGACGACCTGATACACTGGAAGACCATGTATGTAGCTGGGCGCCTGCACAAACCGGTTGGTATCCAGATTGGACTGTTATTGAACCCTCAGACAAACTATGCTGATTATTTTACATTTATTAGAATAATTATTGTAATGTGTAATCTGAAATGGGATGCAAGGGTTTAGAACAATGTTTTTGTTGCATTCACGTTTAGTTCTTCTGATAACGTAGTGCATTGGTCTGCACTTGTGTTTAGGTGAGACTGCTGGTCCAGAGTGAGAGCCGAAAGCTCCGCGCTGCCCTGGTCGCCAACCTGAAGAGCGCTGTGACTGCTTCCTTCCTGATGCTCCCAGAGAGCTTCACTGAGGAAGACTTTTTCCTGCAGATAGCTGGTCTTTCTTATGCTGGTAAGCAGATTTATAAAACCGCACAGAGCTTAAGAAGATTGCATACTTTCATAGTTACTTTCAAGTTGCAGATTTAGATCAGAATAAGACCATGTCTCTTTCTGATCTTTTTCTCCCATGTGAAAAAGTATTTTCATTTACTGCTTACTTGTGTTATTCAGAGTCAACACAGGGATTAATATCCAAGCTGTAGTGCTCCAGCTTTTGTAGTTTAGAAAAACATACTGCTTGTTCAGAAGACTTCAGAATTATTCAACGTCATTTTAATTAAACTTTTTAATTTTCCTGATAATATGCAATGAAATGGCTTGAAGTCAACACATGTTATCCTCATCATGAGGCTTTCAGTGTCTTAAAGCAAAGAGTGTGCGTACAATGACAGTGCTGTGTAACACTACAGGTTGTTATGGGAGATGATTATGAGTGTGCTCCTGACTTAGGCAAACTGAAGTGTTATTTTATTTTATTTTATTTTTTTGCTCCTCTGAAGGGGATTTTAGGATGGTGATTGGAGAGGATAAGTCCAAGGTGGCCAATATCGTCAAAGACAACATTCAACACTTCAGGATTTTGTATAGCAACATCTTAAGAGATTGCCCTCAAGTGGTCTACAAACCTCACCAAGGAAAACTTGAGGTATGATACTGTAAACAGGCACCAGAAGAATACACACTTTCTTTCAGCATCTCTGATATTTGAGCAACGCAGCTCAGTTTGGACATTGGGTACTTTTACAGAGTGTCAGCTGAATAAACTGAAGTGCTGTACCTCAGAAATTGTCCTTATTAAGCATTGAAATGTAATACCATGAAACAACAGCTACCGATATATTTCCAGAAATATAACAAGATGGATAAATTCTTTAAAGTGCCTTTGGACCTTTTATAAACAGTGAAATTATCCAGCTGTCGTGCCTGTTTTGTGAAATGCACAAATAGATTTTCACACTAAAAGTCTACAGTAATTAATGGTATAGTGTGGTAACTGTGTGTCTACTCAATAAATGGCAAATTTCTTTGCAGTCAAATCTGTGTACTTTTTAAATGCTGCAACCACTCCCTGTTTTTCCAACGAAACACTGAATACCTGAGAAATGACTCTGAACGATTACGAGAAGAAGAGGCAAGAAATGTGTATGTCTTTGTATGTGTGATATCTTTTGCAGTCATCTGTTACAAGATGGGGAGTTTTGCAATGTAAACACGAGCCCACTTATAAACAACACAAAAAAAAGCATGACACATAGCAACATGCGAGGTGCCACCTTTGCTGCTTTTGTTGGCACGTTTTCAGTGAAGTTACAGTAATATCATGCAACTATTAGCATTAGCAGCTGCCTACGTGTGCATGTGTTGATGTGCAGATCAGATCATAAAACCATTACCTATTCATCAAAGCTTAATACTTTTTAAAAGCCATATTTTGTATTAAAATAGTTGAGGTTAGTGAATTATATTGACCTATATATGTCATGTTGAGCTTCGCAGCTGTAAATAAATATTCTGGAGCAATAGGACCAATTTTGTGAACACAAAATGCCTCTTAGGTTATGTCTGATAATGGCATATCAGAGATGCATTGGCTGTTTGTTTGTTTTTTTTTCTTTTTAACTTTTAAAAAATTTACCTGATTTACAGTGCTGCAGAGATCCCCAATGACTCTGATTTCTGAATAAACTTCTACAGAAGCATACTTTAAAAGATGACAAAAAAGTAAAAATGCACTTTCATTCCTAATAGTTACAATGTAAAGCACCTGTAGAGCTATTCTGCCAGCTATCACTGAAAGCTGATTGTGTTCATCTGGACTGCTCAGTGGGAGAAACCTTTTGTTTCACCCAGGTGACTTCTTCAGTCAGGTTTTCACATCTTTATAAACTATATATTTTCATAAAGACTGAAACTAGCACCACTAACGAGCAGTGGGCCGTGAGGTCAGTTTAATCATCATTGGCCAACTATATGTATCTCTGTTCATTTATTTTTGTATGTTTTCCTGAAGGTTGACAAAAGCCCAGAAGGCCAATTTACTCAGCTGATGGCGTTACCTCGGACTCTCCAACAAAGGATCACAAAGCTGGTTGATCCTCCAGGGAAGAACCGGGATGTGGAAGAGATCCTGCTCCAGGTGGCTCAGGATCCTGACTGTGGAACAGTTGTGCAACAAGGTAGAGAAGAAAGATGACGAAGAATGGGATCGGTTCTCTTTAGAGGAACGTTGGCATAAGCAGAGGCAGTGAGGGAGGAAGAAATGGGTCATGGAAACAGATATTAAGTGTGTTTTAATTACATGTTTGAGCTTGTTTTTATTGCTTCCCAGGTATCTCATCCATTGTGAAATCCTCCAGTATAACACAGAGTATCAAAGGCATTGCTACAGCTGGTAAGGAATCTTATAGTATGTACTGTGTATTGTGTCTGTGTGTACGCCACAGCTAGATGAATGGTTTACCTGAAGGGGAACTGGTCAAACTGGTGCATTCTAAAGACAACCTGCCTAACAAGACCTCCAAAGCTCAGTGTCCATCATATATTGTTTGATTATTCTACACACAATCTAGAGTATAAAAAGATTATTGGGGTGATATAAGAGAACTATGTTATGCATGTTAATGGGTGGTCCGTGTGATCCTTTCCCTCCTCCAGGATTGTGGAAGACTGTATCCTACAGCTCCAAAAAACTGATGAAGATGTGGAAGGGCGGGAGGAGGAAGCCGTCGGTCTCTCAGATGTCTTGACCTTGTCGGTTTACCAGGAACTTGTTCGTCTTTGTTACTGTCAGTCTGACAATCTAATGCTGCCCGTCCTTTTTTAAACCCCATCTAAAACAATCACACCCTAACCTATGGTTGTATCACTTTGTAGTGTCTACATATGCGACCTATGACCAGGTGTAAGGCCGTGTGTAAAAAAAAAAGAAAAAAAAAAAAGAACCATCTGTGCTTGAGCCTTCATTAAATTCATATAATTCATGAATAAAGGGTGGCATTTTCTAAGTTGGACTGAGTAATGGTTGACATTTTCTGGTAGTACAGATTAGCCTTTCTGGATGATGGACTACAGTGACTGATGACATACTGAAAGGTCTGAATGGACTTCTTTTAAAGGCCATGCAGTAAAATTGGCCCAAAATCAGTGTTAAGAACTTGAAACCTGTACCTCAAGTTTTGTGAAGGAATAAGTTTGGTCGCATGTGTGTCTTCTGAATCAATGTCAGTGTTGTGTTGAATTTTCTTTGTGAACGGTGCTATCAACAGGTCAGGTGGATGGATCTGTGTGTCAAACACCCATATTTGTGTGGATATTTGTGACATAATGCTTTCCTGAGCCCTCTACCGTGTCCATAACCATCCCATCTGAGTGCCTAACACTTCAACTGTAAAACTAAGTCTTGAGCCTCAACCAGGCCTTTGAATGGATAAGAAGTGAGTATCGGCCAAAACGTCCTCACTCCACTAGTCTAAAACACAAGCTAGTCCTCACGAGGATGGCACACTTATTTCCCTACACATTTCACCAAAGATCTCTAATGTTCAACTCTTTAGTCTGTGTGTCTTTATTCACTGACTTTATTATTTGGTTTAGCTTGTAATGGAAACCTGAACCTTTTAATGGGAAGATGCACTGATTGGTTCCTTACAAACAGGCCTGTAGTGTAATTCAGCTGCAAGAAATTGTTTTAATAAAATTTCTAATATAACATCAATTGAGACTTTTTCTTGTGTCGCATGATTTTATTTAGCCATGTTTAGGAATGTTATTTCTGGCTTCTTGCATCCTATGACCTCGTTTTATTTAAACACTCCTTTTTAAAAAATTGCTGGTCTTTTAAATTGGATTAACTGGCTGAGTGTACCTCCAGTTGCGACCACAGTCCAGACAAGATTTTTCAGTTAATGGTGATTCTAAATTCTCGGTTTGTGTCGATATGTGAGAGAGTGAGTCCCTGTTTGTGTTAGCCACACGATGGACTAGTCCAGGGTACACCCTACCTCTTCCCCTAGGATGATTTAAGGATTAAGAAAAATGTTATTCTTTGTTTCAATTGAATTTGGATTTTTGTATGATAGACAAGCAAGACAGACACCGAACAAGCTCAAAATGAGTACATATTCCAGGATATAGGTATTTCCCCAAAATAACTGTCCATATACACTCAACAAAAATATAAACGCAACACCTTTGTTACTGCTCCCA